AAGAAGAGTATAGGAAATGGAGAAGCCAAAGAATGCACATGCATGACCCATGGACATGAACTAAGGGGGGGAGTGCTGGAGGGAATGGGGGTTCTGGGTGGAAGGGGGCAAAGGGAAAAAATTGAGACAACTATAATAGCATCATCAATAAAACATATTAAAAAATTTATGTAGTTAAACTCCTCACAAAGTTGTACTTACAATTCAAGACTTTGAGTCATAGTTAAAAAGGTTTTCTCCACTTCCATGTTTTAAAGGAGGTCACCTAGGTTTTCTTTTAGTATTTCTATGGTTTTATTTAACAGTATACTTGGATAGCTAATTTACTTGAGTGAAGTTTTTTTCATATGGGTTTTGTACATTTTTTGGTCCAATTTATTTTTAGGTGTTTTCTTTTTTTTTCTTTTTTCTTTTTTTGCTGCCATTGTAAATGGGTTTCTCTTCCAAAATATCTTCTAACTGGTTAATGATTGTATATTGGAAGACTATTTGTTTATCTATATTAATTTTATACCTGCAAATTTTGCAGAATTTAAAGTTTTGTGGGTTCCCCTCCCATTGATTTTCTTGGGTTTTCCATTCATATAAGCAGTAACTAGAAATCATTTTATATACTTACTTTTAATTCTTATGCCTCTAGCTGCTGCTCTTACCCAATTAAATTGTCTAATATTTCTGAAAGTTAACTAGTTGTGGCAATAGTGAGTATCCCTATCTTATTCTTGATTTTCATGGGAACACCTCTAGTGCTTTCCCATCAAAAGAGATGTTGGCTTTGGGGCTGTTGTATGTGTGTGTATGTAACTATGTTAAGAAAGAATTTATCAATATTTATTTAATGAGTGTTTTTAATTTAATCAGTCATGGGAATTGAATTTTCTTTTTAGCATTAAAGGAAATAACCGTATGCTTTTTCTATGTAGATCTATGGTTTAATATTAATAGATTTCCTAGTATTGAATCTCCTGGAATACCTTCTACCTTATTATTATGTATTTCACTTAATATGCTATTGGGGTCTGTGTGACTATATTTTATTTAGATTTTTCCCCCCTCAACACTTGTGAGATTAAGATTGTGTGTAATCCTAATAATTTTTATGTTATTTTGAAGTTCACTACATAAAACTAATGAGAAGTTTTCCTTTACATCCTGTGTGTGTATATTCTAACATTGAAATTATCTGTCCTTGAAGGTTTGTTGCAGTCTGCTTGTGAAACCGCCTCAGCCTGGCATTCTTCTCGTTGGTGGAGGAGGAGCACTTGATGATTGAGAGGCTCTTTGAATGCACCGTGTGCAGTCCTAGCTGTCCTGAGGCTACGACCTCCACAAAGTAGGATGCAGGAAGTAAGTTTCTAGGATAGAGGACACCTTTCCCAAGGCAGATGGGATTAGGCGTGGACTGACAGCATGATCCCATCTAGGACGGGAGAGAAACACGAGGGGGTGGTGTCCGTGGGCAAGAGGGCTATGGAGAGAGGTGCCGGAGAGGCCTGAGTTGAGATCAGTTGCATCTTCCCAAAGGCTTTTCTATGACTGCATTCCAGCCTCCTGTTGGGGGGGTCCCTCTCCTATATTAACAGCTGGGAAGGCAAAGGCAATTCCCCATAGTCCACGGAAGTCCTTGGCAGCCTTTGTCAGGAAGGTCCTCAGAGTCACCTCACCCAAGGGAGCTTGCACTAACAACAGTCAGCAATCCCATCCCCAAATTCTACCCACTTGCACTTACTGTGAGCCAGTTTCAGCCAACAAACCCCGAGGCTCACAGACTTATTACAATGCTTCCGTTGATAGCCATTCCTTTCATGCTGGTCTTTGGTTTTCTGAGGCAGCTCTCTCCACGAGGGACTTTCAAACAACCACCCCATTGCTCCAATGGCTCCCCTGGGAGATGGCTTTGCTGTGGCAAGGGGTAGGTGGGGGTGCAGGGACACGGGGCAGGCTCTCCTGTGTTCTTCTCTCTTTCTGGCTCCCACAGCCCTCTGTGGACTTGCAGGCATCAGGGCTCTCTGCCCCCATGGCCCCAAGAGAGCCTGCTACCAGGAGGAGCTGCTCTGCGAGACAGAGAGTGAGAGCACTTGGCTGGGAGGCTCAGCGTTGCCACTGCACAATGTTGCGCCCGATGAGAGGCTGGGAAAAGAGGGAGAAGAAAGCTGTGATATCCCTGAAGCTCCTCGACCATGTCGGAGCCTGAGGGAAGACTTTGTGAAGAGGCTGAAGCTTGAAGACATGCTGAGATATTGGTCTGCGCCCACAGAGGACTCTTGGTAGTGTTTCCTGTGTACAAGTCACAGGTCTTGTAGAAAGTGTGACCGCTGCCGGCTCTGTTCTCCCAGTTCTGCGATCCCTGCCTGGCCACAGCCGGCCATAGGTTTCCATCTACAGCTGTTGAGGGAATGACTGTGGGCTCACATGGGGCTTGCAGGGCACGGGGAAGGCTGGGCTGTGGAAGCAATTGAGGGACCTGCGGAGTGTTTTGCACTCTCGGCCAGCACTGCTTCCTCTCTACGTGCAAATAGAATCCCTCAGTATTCACCCCCACATAGCTGCAACAAGGCTAGCCAGATCCGTTCGGACCACAACTGCAAAAGTGAGGGCAGCAAAAGGTATGGGCGTTCCTTGTAAAACTTTAAAATCGAAATGTCAGTCAGTATCTGATTGACCACAGAGGTTTATTCTGTGCCACAGAGACGGCCAGCTGGCCCCAAAGGCTCAGGAGCTCGAAGTCCAGACCTGCTCCTCTGAGCTGTGCTGCTCAGTTCTGGCTGCAACAGCTGCTGAGTGGCTGGTCATACTGAGTCCCACCCCGTACGAGACTCCAAACTGGGACTTCTTGAAGGTTCCCTGGGGAGAATCTTATGTCATTCATCTTCCTGCAAGGCCTCTTCAGGGTCTTACTGGTACAGTGGCCACTCTTCTGCAGGAATATTTTATCCTCATACTCTTATATCAGATGCCTGTGACAGGATGAAGAGGTTGTGTAGAGCCCTAGTCTTGGAGTCCAGAGACCAGAGTTTTACTCCTGGCAAAATACATTACCTGGATAGAGAGAGATTCTCCTCCGATTTTCCATTTACTTTCTTAGTTAATATTATTATCAATACTACCATTGATGAATTGAACCCTTCCTGTGTTCCAGGCACTGTTCTAAACACATTACCAAACTTTAGTTCACCAAATCTTCACAATGACCTTATGAAAAAGGGAAGGGGATATTATTGTTCTTATTGCAAATGAGGAAACTGAGTTTTAAGGAGGTTGAGTAACTTTCTTAAGGTCACCAAAGGGGGGTGAATTTGGACCCAGGTGTTAGTTACTCTAGAGTCTGTTGATCACCTCTCTCTGGTGTCTCGGGAGAGCACTATTCATCATCCTCTTTGGACTGATTGCTTAGCAACAAATAGAACAGTTCTTTACTATTTTTTTTCTTATGCAGTCTAAATTTTTTTGGATTTCTCATTATATAAGACAGGTCCTGCCTCCGGGGTGTCCAACCACCCCTGCTGTAGAAACAGGCTGTCCGTTTATCATAACCCAGCACCCACCTGTCTGTGTGCTCTGTTCCCACTGGTTGCTCTTGGCTTTCTCACACCCTGCTCCTTTGCCTTGGTGACCAGTTTTGGATTCACACCACAAGTTCAACCTCGGCACCTTCCCTTTGACACACGTGAGGTATCCTTAAGCTTAAGGGGTTGTGGCTGTTGAAAAGGGAGTTGTATTTTGATGTGGGCCTTGAAGGAGAGGTTGAGTTGGGAAAAGCAGTGAGAAACGGGTGAGGCATGTGTTGTAAGGGGCTGGCGGTGGCCTGTGGGGTGGGAATGGGCCCTGATGCCGAGGTGGGAATAGGCAGGACCCAGGGAGGGAAGACGCTGGCCTGAGACGAAGCACCAGTGGAGAAGGCCGGCAGGAGCCTGTAGGGCGGGCCGTGCTCAGGGTGCTGGGCCAGAAGGAAGCAGACGGAGCACCAGGCTTCAGCTGTTCCCCCTGGAGAAGCTGTGTGGTTTTAGGACACACACCATGCAGCACAGCCAAAGAAGCAGTGGGGAGCCCTGAAGGCACTTGAATGTGGACCCTCCACCTCCTCTCCTCAGAGGGTGGCTTCGCCAGAAAGCCAGCTTCGACTGTGCACTGTCTGAGGGCAGGGCTAGGATTATTTACGCTCGTATTTCCAGAGCTTGCTGTTGAAGCTGGTGCTTCGTCGGCACCCAGAGATGTTTGAATGAATGAAGAAAACAAGGGTCAACCAATCTCTTTCCAGGATCAGGCAACTGGGGCTCACCCTTCTCTGCATCGCTGGTTTTCCTGGGGTTGCCATGAACAAGGAAACTCATTCCTCTGGTCTCCTCTGATAAGACTGAGTCAGAGAGATCAAGCCAGAATTCAGCAAAGTCTCAACTCATGTAAACAAGACAGAAGATAGAAGATTCAAGGAGAGGATTTCATTCCAGGGGAAGGGCTATGTTTGTCTGAGGCTTTTGTCCCGCCCATGCCTGGTCTCCTATAGTAAATGCCTCTTGGTCACTGGCTCATTAGATTTCAAGTGCAGTTCCTAGCCTAAAAGTGAACAAACTTGAATTTCTGTTATCTTTGCACGTTCTTTAGTAGGATGAAGTCAGGCAGAGATAGTGAACCTCACTGGTAATAAGTTCTGTACATCTTGGGCGTGCCACAGATATCCTGAGCTTGTTAAATAAAGGCTGATTAAAAAAAAAAAAGCGCATTAAGAGAATTTAACGCAGCAGATTGACTAAAAGTAATCCAAAGAGCATCGTAATGTACTTCTAACCACATCTTTGCTTATTTTTTAATGTGTTTCCTTCATGGTCTTTCTTGTGGCTCGCCCTTTGCAGTGTGTGTACTTGTTGAGAAATTCATCTGTCTGGTTTTGCTGAGCTCAGTTTTTCCGAGACCCCCCGCTCCTCGCAGGCTCAGTTTCACCTTGCCATCTGCAGCGGGTGTTTCCGCGGTGGCAGACGGGGCCACATCTGCTTCCTGGAGGCCCTCTGGGCAGAAGCATGCACTGGTGCCTCCTCCTGATCTGGGCCCAGGGGCTGAGGCAGGCTTCCACCCTGGCTCCAGGTAAGGGCTGCAGATCCAGCCTAGGACCTACGGGAATGGGAGAGCGGGGAGGCAGGCGGGGGAGGCAGGCAGTGAGCGCCGCATCTGTCAGTGGGAAAGAAACCTCTTCTCTCTGAGAAGAAGGCACAGGTCTCTCTTGGGTGGCAGATGACGGACCTGAGGTTGGGCGGGCCTGACTGGCCAGCCCAAAAAACAAGGCAGCGGGAGAGGAAGGGTCTAAGAAGGAAGAGTGATCAATTCACTTGCAGAATTTCACTACTGCTCCATCTTCCTTTCTTCTGTCCTTGAGGAAACTTCTAGAGAAATAGTGTACATTTTCTGTGGATCAAAATGTGTTCTTCACAGATTCTAGAGACTCTGCTGTTATGGAATGAATCTATGTTAAATCTATTTCCTTCTGTATTAAAAGGGGACACAAACATTTACAAGCTGCAGTACACATTAGTTTTCATGTTGTTTTCTGAACCACCGAAGGGGTGTAAGGGCCAAAAGGCGGTCCTGCTTTGGAGAAAGTTTCTCTCCAGTGCTCCTTCCCTTTGGATCTCATGGCTTTCCTGGAGGGCTTTCTGGGTCCCCCAGGTGGCAATCACCCAAACAGCCAGATTTTATTTCAAAGGAGGATGTGTCCAGCACAGAACTGAGCTACTGGGAGATACACCAAAACAGAAGCAGTGGCTGACAGGGTTTATATTCTGGGTGGGAGGCAAAGTAAGCCTATGAACGTAGCCATAAGCTGTCCCTGGAGCCACATCCCAGCAGAGGCTCCTGAGATGGCGAAGGGCTGCTCCGCTGTGTGGCAATTATAGCCTGCCAGGGGGAGGGGCAGGAAGGACTGCGGAGACCAATATTCTGAAAGCCAGTTCTGGATGCAAAGCCCTTTGGAATTTCCACGGGAAGGTTCAAGGCTAGCTGCTGACCCAGGACGCCTCTGCATGCTTTTCTCCCTTCTCTAGGAGCTGTGACAGGCAGAATAGTAACCGCGGGGAACATTTCTGCAGAGGAAGGAGGCTCTGTCACCTTACAGTGTCACCTCTCCTCAACCGCTGCCATAGTGACTCAGGTGGACTGGAAGCAGCAGGACCAAATTCTGGCCGTTCACCATGCTAACATGGGATGGCACATCGAGCCAGCCTTCAGGAAACGCGTGGCCCCCGGCCCCCACCTGGCCCTCACCCTCAAGTCGCTGACCATGAACGACACCGGGGAGTACTCCTGCAGCTACTACACCTTCCCTGATGGCATTTACAAAGGCAGGCTCTTTCTGGAGGTCCTGCAAAGCCCAGGTACGCCTTCTGGAGCAGAGGAGCTGAGGAACCTCATCCTTGAGGATAGAAAAGGCATCCCTGCCAAACACAGCGGAGCAGGGCTTCCCAGCCCGGGCTCACGTTCACTTCACCTGGGAGCTTCTTAATAACGCCGATGACAGCGCCCTGGTCCTAAGCTGTTCCCTCAGCGTCCCCAGGGGCAGAGCCAGGGTGTGGTAGGCTCTAAGGGCGTCCCTGGTGACTCTAGTGTGCGTATATCTTTTTGAGACCTACACTTTTGGGCGTAAGAAGGACATTTTATGTATGTTTACTAGAAAGACCAGTTGATAAGGTCATCTGGAAAATGTTCTCATTTATTAGCTTAGCATGGAGCATGCAAATGAGAATTAGCCCCCAAATGTACAAGGAGTTAGAGCTGGTTAAAAGCAAAGCTGGTGTGCTAGGTAGGTGTAAAGGTACAATAATTTACATTTTTAAAAAGTTAAAATTTTTGTTCAATTACAGTTGGCATGCAGTATTGTATTAGTTTCAAGTGAACGGCATAGTGACTAGACATTTACATAACTTAAGAAGCGGTCACCCTGATAAGCCTGGTGCCCGTCAGTCACCACACATAGGTATTACAGTATTACTGACTGTGTCTCCTGTGCTGTGCCTTACAGCTCCGCGGTTGTTTTTATTTCTGGCAGTTCATGCATCTCAGTCCCTCTCCCCTTTTCATCTATCCCACCAACTCCCCTCCTATCTTGCAACCATCAGTTTGTTCTCTGTTTCTATGAGTTTATTTCTGTTTTGTTTGCTCACTTATTTGTTTTTTATGTTCTACATATAAGTAAAATCATATGGTATCCGTCTTTTCCTGTCTGACTTATTTCACTCAGCATAGTACCCTCCAGGTCCATCCATGTTGTTGCAAATGGTAAGATTTCATTCTTTTTCATGTCTGACCAGTGTTCCACTGCGCTTATGTACCATGTCTTCTTTATGCACTTGTCTATCAATGGGTGCTTAGCCTGTGTCCATATCTCCGCTATTGTAAATAGGCTGCAATGAACATAAGGGCGCATATATCTTTTTGAATTAGTGTTTTGGATTTCTTCAGATAAGTACCCAGAAGTGGAATTGCTGGGTCATATGGTAGTTCTATCTTTAACTTACGATAATTTACATTTGTGTGTACTTCATAGTTTCCAAAATAACCTCACATTCATTATCCATCTGGACACTTGAACCAGTTGTCTGGACGGTGAGAAAGGATTCTTATTACATCTGAGAGACAATGTAGCAGAGCGGTTATGAGTTCAGAGAGATGCCAGACAGCCCATGTCCAAGCCCCGGTGCTGCCGTTGACCTCAGGCAGGATCACTTAGCTCCTCTGTGCATTGGTCTTCTTGTTGGTGAAATGATGGTAGTTGTAAGACTGTATGAGGTGCTAACACAGGGTTGAATTCCTTACTGCAAGAAAATGCCTAGAGAACAGCACCTGGAACGTGCATGGTAAGCACTAAGTCAGTCTTAGCTATGAATGCAATTCCCCTCTCACTGATGGAGGTGGAGACTGAGGCTTGGAGCTGCTCAGAGCATGAGAGTTGATTTTAACACAGGTGTTCTGGTTCCCCTAAACTATACCCTCAGAACTTCTGCTTGCTTATTGCGTTGGAGATTAAGTTTTATGAGTTAGCAAAATCTATGAAACTGTTACCTTAAAGTTTCTTCTCAAATGCTACTCCTCTGCTGCCTCTGACTGGGCCCGTGAGGCATGCGGACCAGAGCCTGCGTCTTCCTCTGGTTCCGTGGGCGGCCCTCGGCACCTGCTCTCCACGGCCACTTCGCTCCCCTCCTGCCCTCTTTCCTCGCCTGTGGCCAAAGCAGGGAGCTGATCCTCCAGGCAGAAGAAACGCATTCTGGGAAGCTGGGCTCCCTCTGCTACACCTGCTGGCTCTGTGTGGGGACCGTGGGCACCGGCCTGTCCTAGGGACAGCATTCCTTAGCCACCTTCCCGGCACTCTAAGCCCATCGGTGGAGGGAAGAGGGCCCGGCCTCTGCCACATCCTTCTCTTTTCTCCCTGGACACCTGTGTTCTGCCCAAGCTCCTGGGAAGGTGGTGGAGATGCGACAAAGCAGCGAGGAAACCCTTCCACCTCCAGCATGGCACACACCGGGCAACTGGCCTATTCCTCTCACACTCTCCTTGGATCAAATATCACTCCTCTCTTCAGAGCTCCTTCCTGCCTCTTCCTCCTTCCAGTGACAGTGTATGTCAGTAGAAATTCACTTATTCATGCCTCAGTTCATAGCACAGACATTTTCTTAAGCACCTGCTATGTATGATATGAATTAAAGGCAAACAGCAAAAGGTGCAGGTCCCGAGCCTTACTCCCTCCGGGTCTCCTAGCTGAGGTTGGTAAGTGTTAGAGGCTTAAGGTGAAAGGTTATGTGCTTTTGTCCTTTTCGTACTTCAGTAATCATTTTATTTTAATTTTTAATTTATTTTCTACGAGTATGATCATAAATATGAAGTCTAATAAAACTATTCTTTTTTCATTTTTTTCTGGAGGTTATCATTTGTTTCATTTCATGATTATCACTAAGAGTGATTTTGTAGAATCGAGGGAGGCAGGGTTGCAAATGGTCTGCTCTGGTGTCAGATGTGCGAGGCAGGCAACAGCTGGGGTGCGAGCGGCGCGGGGTGGGCCAGGCAGATGCTCGGCTGAACAAGGAGCTGGCCCGAACGGCCCAGTCCTGCGGTTGAAGGAAGGCCGGGCCGATCCCCACCTCTGCGCCCGGACGTCCGGGCTTCCCTGGGGATGGGTCGTCCTTTGCTTCTGGCCTCAGCCCGTTTCCTTCACTCTGTCTTCCCACCAGGGGCTGAGCACGGCGCTGGCTTCCTTGTCCTGTTGCTCGTAGTCATGTTGCTGGTGGTCACCTGCACAGCGGTCACAGCGGTGGTCACGCTGACCAGAAAGGTAAGGATTCTGGCTGCACATCCCCGTCCCGGGCAGCCCGCCCTGCCGCCCTGGCCCCCTCAGATTCTCTTTCTGTCCAGAGAGAGACTTCAAGGTGATCTCTCCCACTGCTCCTTGTGCCTTTTTCATGGTCCTCGTTCTGCCTTTGTGTGAAGTTGTTCATAGTCTTCTTCTGTTGCTTTCCTTATCTCGGAGCTCCTGAAAGGTTGGACCTGTCTCTTTTCAATCTTGCTGTTACCTGCAATTCCCAGTTCCTGCCTGTCCCTTAAGTGAGTCCCCCTGGGAGACTGATTTTTCAGCTTTGACTTCGATGCATCTTGGGAATTTACTCTGTGCTAGGCATTTCTGTATATTAGCTCATTTAATTTCAACAACCCTTCAGCAGTGCTGGGCGATCCAACGATTCTGCCACTTGAGAAACAAAAGATCATGAGAGACCCCTATTTCCCAATCAAGACCTTGGTAGAGGAGACTCGCTCGGGCTGCAGTCCAGCTGTCTTGGAAGTTCTGTCTCTCGCACAATCAGGTTCTGGCCTGGAGAGGGTGCTCCTTTAAATGCTGCTGAGGAGGACCTTGACTCTCACGCTTTGCTTTCAGTTGCTGATAGACTTTCCTTTTCCTGCACAGTGAACCAGGAGAATTTAGCAAAGCCATCCAGTCCCACGGCCCTAATAATCACTGCTTCCCCCATCCTTCTCAGATGTCAGCGCTCTGGCACCTGCTCTCAGTCGCCTTCCATCTGTGTCCCATCCCATCCAGCACCAGCGGTGGAGTCTGCACTTCCATTCATCTGGTGACTCTCCTTCCACAGTCCGTCCAGGGCCGTTCCGGGGCAGCCGTTTTAGATCAGGTGCGGGAAATAGAGCTGACGCGTGGATTCTGGTGACAGCAGTGTAAGTGAGCTCTCAGAGGAGAGGTATTAGGGAAGAAAGCTCTGCGTGAAGGAAGCTCAGCTGGAGACCCTGTTGAAGCAAGAATTGTGTGCAGAGTTGGTTGCGCCTTGAGGCAGGGAGCTGGCCTTTTCAAAACCCACCTCAGTGGGGCACTGACTGCTGGCTGCTCAGCAGGAAGGGCCCCAGGGCAAGTCTCCAGAGAAGGGCCGCTGTGAGCCACTCAGTCTGCACTCCCAGGCTTGGGGGGTGGGGGCACTGGTCAGGTAGGCAGGATGTGAGCAGAGCACCAACAGCGCCCCCGATGGGCCCCCGAGAGAGCCAGCGGACTGCAATATTTGGGAACGTGGTCTTGGGAGTCAGACAGACCTGGGGGGCGTCATGGCCTGGCAGTGTGGCCTAACCTCGCCCCGCCTCAGCTTCCACACCTGTGACTCGGAAATAATTTTGGTGGTGTTCTCATGGGATTGTGGGAACACCGAAGTCAAGTAATTCAAGCAAGCCACTTGGCATTTCTCCCGGTATGTATTAATAACCATCACTCTGATAAGTATATGTTTTTATAATTATTATAAATTTTATTTATTGTAGCACAGCATAATACTTGGTGCTCAATAAACATTTATGTTACATGGATCTACTAGACTAACTGAATGAATATGATTTGCCAAGCAGCTCTTTGGCAGAAGTGCCCCAGGCACCTTCCGTGAGGCACAGGAAGGGCGTGTGTGTCCCGCTGCCGGACCAGGCCTGCCAAGCCCGCTCTCCTTCCTCCTCACCTTCTCTGAGAGGGCAGTGCATGTCCCTGCAGGGCCCAGCTGCAGTCTCAGTAGCTGCCTTTGATCCTTTAGGACATCAGTGCATTAATTCAAGACTTATTTTTGTGTGGCCAGTCTAAGAAAGGGAACACGAACACACCAGCTTGAAGGGTCACATCAGTGCTTTGAGGATGAGTTGTGTCACTTGCCTTAACAATGGATAGGGTTGCGTCAGGGGCTATAGCACTTCTTTTAAGCACAGTGTCAGCTCGACCTCTGATAGCTACCCTTTTCCTTCAGTCTTGTTATGGATGAGGTGCAGCCACTCCTACTGAAAAGGAACGAATGAAACGGTAGGAGTGGACAGACTCCCTGACTCCTGTGTATGCTCCCAGACTCAGGTCTATGGCTTCCCTGCAGCCCAGCTCCTCAGGGCCTGCAGCTGTGTGGCACTCTGATTCTTCTTGTTTGCGGTGAATATCCGTGCAGCCCTGCCCACCCTCCCCCTCAGCCCCCCGCATAGATTTGTGCACTGCTGAGCATGACATTAGCTGCCAGTGACGGTGCTGGCGCATCCCATCCTGGAAGAAGGGCAGGGGCAAGGGGCGTGGGGGCAGAATGAAAAGGGGTTTGTTGTTCTTTTCCAAGGCTGTCTGTGGCTCTTCGTGATTCTGTCCCTCAGATCTTCCGTGTGGGTGAGTGACTCGCTTTAGAGTCGCCTCCAGGAGGACTGAGAGGGTACTCTCATCTGTGTACTGGGTGTCATTAAACATTTTGGGTGCTGCTGTGTTGGTGCCTGCTGTTTTTTTAATTTCCTTTTCTTAGCCCAACCCTCACCTGTGCTGCTCTCATATGGGTGCGAGGACTGACTTCACACCCTTGATTTTCCCACACAGATTTCACTGTTGTGGCCTATTGTCCAACAGAGGCAATTGCAGTTGTCTGACCATGAGTCCCTACTTTGATTTGGAAAATCCAGTTCTTTTAGGTGTGGGGCTGTCGAAGAATGTGTATGTGTGTGCATTTCAGTCCTAAGACATATATTGAGCATCTGTCACAGGCTCTGAGGTTACACAGAGGAACACAGCACAGTCTCCTATCTCAGGGAACTCACAGTTTCTTGGACAATGTGAGGCCTGGAGAAGACAGAGGATCAACAAAAAGTGTCAGATAGCATTCAGTGCTACAACAGAGAACATTGAAGGCCCTATGCTAGCACAGGGGGAGAATGTAGCTCTCCTGGAAGGTCAGAAAGTTTTCTTTTTCTTTTTAATCCTCACATGAGAATGTTTTTTTTTTTTTTTTTTATTAATTTTAGAGAGAGAGAGAGGGAGAGGGAGGAAGAGAGAGAGAAAGAGAAGCATTGATGTGAGAGAGAAACATCAATTGGTTGCCTCCCATAAGTGCCCCAACTGGGATTCGAACCCACAACCTTTTGGTTAACAGAATGATGTTTCAACCAACTGAGCCACCTGGCCAGGGCCAGAGAAGGCTTCTTGGACAATGTGCTGTGGAGCTGAGTCTGGAGGACTGAGGAGACAACTTTCTTAGGGAACTACAGAGAATGGACAATGGGTATGACATATACAAACCTGAGGGGTCAGGAAACAGTGCCTGGTATTCTAGAAGGTGCAAAATGAGAGGCAGCTTGGTTGAGGAGAAAGGGCATAGCCCCAAGTCAGACGAACACAAGTCAGAACTGGGTTTGTCCTTGGGCAGATGACTGCACCTGTCTGTGCCTATTAGCTAACTCAAAAAGTTCAGTAGCGGTGTTGGTGAGACTATGAGAAGAGAGTCGAGCCCAGGCTCATAGTGGATTCTCAAGAAATGGTAGCTCTCTGGCATTGGGCCCTACACTGGAAGTTGGGGTGTTGGTTGGGGAAGCACTGCAGGACATGAAGCTGAGAAGGTGAGTATGACCAAGTCACGCAGGGATTTGGGGGGCATCAGACACAGTCTCCTGCCGGGAATGCTGTGAAATGATGGACCTCCTTCCTGGAAGAATGCACCTTATGCAATTTTTTTTTTCATTTTGTATCATTTTGTTTTGTTTTATAAATCCCTCGAAGTCCTCCTGTGGCTCCTGTAGAAAATGGGAAACATCCAAACATTTTGGGCAGAAGTGTGGCATGATCCAGCTTTCGTCTCTGAAGGATCGCCTGCTGGTGGCCCTATGGAAGTTAGACTAGACCTACCTGGGGCTCTAGGGGCAGGAGGGTATGGAAGTATGGGTGAGAGGTAAACATGAAAGGAGGGATAGGAAAGCGAGTAGATTTCAGATTTCCTTAGGAGTTAAACAGGATGGGATTTTGATCTCCACTTGAGTTTAACATTAACATAATGTTAATTTAACATTAACATTAACAGTTTTCTGGCCAGGTGGTGCCATGGCCCACGATAGAGGCTGTGGGGCAGGAGCAGTGTATAGGGGAGCAGTGTGTTGGCTTCCTCTGAGGGAGGCCGAGCCTGAGCTTGCTGTGGGGGGGGGTCACCAGGTGCCATGCCCAGTGAGCAGGTAGGCGCCTGGCCCTGGAGCTCAGGGCAGAGCTGGGGCTGGTTTGGGTAGAGATTTGGGAATCATCCTAGGAAAGAGGGTGGTTGTAGATGTTCATTTAGATGAAGTGACTCAGAGAAAGTGTAGAATGTGAGAAAGCAGAGGGCAAGACCCTGGGAAAGCCCTTTATTTGAGGAGCTGATGTGAAAACAGAGCAAAGAGCAGGGTGGGCTGAAGATGAAGGTCGGGTTCCCAGGAGGAGGGGGAGGAGCAGGAGAGAGCGGTGCCACAGAAACCTGGGAAGGAGAACACTTACAAAGGAAGAGGCCCATGGCACCGGGGCGGTCAAGAGGAAGAGAGGAGTGGGGTGCAGGTGCCTCACGGGGCTTAGCGAACAGGAAGGAATGCGTGCAGGCACATTGCGTGTGTAGCAAGTGTTCCGCTGGAGTGGTTAGTACTGAAATCCACTGTGACAAAGGTGAGAAATTAAGGGTCAAGAAATTGGTGTTGGTAAGAACACAACTTTGTGTGTGTGTAAGAACGGAAAAGAGAGATCATTGTACTTATGTACCATGTTGAAGAGTGACTTTTGAATACCACCCCTACATACTCACTTCATAGTTTGTTTGTTTTTAGAGACAGTTTCTTCAAATTCGTTCTGCTGAAAGTGGTCTCAGGAGAGTGCCGCCTGAGGAGGAATGGGGTCCCAGCGTCCTGGCAGGCCCTGGAAGCTGTGTGCAGACCCAAGTTGCACCTGCCGGCCTCTGCGGAGAGCAGAGTGGAGAGGACTATGCTGAGCCGCACGACTACTTCAACGTCCTGAGTTACAGAAGCCTCGGGAACATCAGCTTCCCAGCAGAGACTGGTTAGCTCCTAGAGGTGCAGCCTCGATTCTGTTACGAGTGGATGGATGAGGGTCTGCACTCCCCTCGCTGCTGTGTGCGTGTGTGTGTGTGTGTGTGTGCGCGCTCAGCTGAGTGAATGAATGTCATCTTCTTTGCGTTTCCTCTAGCCTTCCCTTCCACTCTATCGTGGCAGACCAGGGCAAGCAGCTTGAATCTTGATATGAATGCCATGCTAAAAAAAAAAATTGACCTGGTTTTGAATCTGGCAGCCTGAGCCCATACTGTGGCTCTGAGCAGCCTACTCCTCCTCATATCACTGGGCAGGGGGTCAGGTTACAGGGTCATTGTCATTTTCATCAACATTCACACATGTATGGCATTTCATGATTAAGGCGTGGGACCAGCTTCTGCGGGGAGATTCAAGGATGACTAATCCGTGGTCATGAGTCTCAGCCGTTTAAGAATTTATAGGCAAGGGGGAGATTACGCTGATGTGGACGGGTGGTAAGAAGATAGGAAAGGGAAACTCAGGCCTTGGGGAGGACCTGCCAGTCTGGCATGGGGTGGCCAGGACAGGCTTATCTGTGGTGAAGTGGTCTTGGCGGGTACAGGGAATGGTGAGGCGGGTCTGGTGAGGGCAGGAGTTTTGTCCGAAGAACTTGCTTTTTCCAAGGAGCTAAAAACCCCACAAGGGAGACCCTGGTACAAAAGGGAACCAATGAGACTTCAGATTTTATTCTCTGGGCAGGCGATTCTAGCCTCCTCTTGTTGGATATACTCAGTGTAGCAATGGACTGATTGGGAGGACTCTAGGCGCTTCCAACCATGCACTAGGGAAGCCACAGGAACTGTGCCTGCTCCTCGCAGGCCAGCATCTTAGCCTTTGGACCGTGACCCACCTTTTTTCTATCAGTCCTCCACTGAGCTTTGAAGAAGTAGTCTGCTTCCCACTAATGGAAGAACCTAGATTTTTAAAATAAGGACTCTTCCTAGGGAAAAAAAAAATAAATAAAAGGAGGGTTATAGAGAGTTTTTAAAAATGTACACTCCCAAACTCTCTTCTCTGAAACTTTAAATTCAGCCCTTATGTCTCTGTGCTGTGGTTGGGGTGCCATGTGAGCTGCTCATTTCTATTTAAGCGTTCAAGTTTTTACCCCTGCCCCTCTGTCTCTCTGAGAGAATTGAGGAGGGAGGCTGGTTTACAGGGGAGCAATCTTCTTTCGTGGGCACAGGAACTGAGAGAGAATATGAAGCAAGCTATCTATTGCCAACTGTTAAAATAAAGCATTGTCCTGCTTCCCGAGAATTAGGCTGGTTGAACAAGACAATTCAACTCCTACTCCTCCTTGAATTTTTATTTTTATATTTCTCACTTTTCAACCAAACAGGTCTATAGTTAAGAGCAATGAGCTGAAATTTGTCTAGAGTGCAAGGTTTTTGGAAAAAAGAGAGATACATGGAAAATGCTGCTATTTGCCATGACACTGCATAGCATTTTTCTTGCAAAACTAGTGCAAATCAATAGGGAGTAGAATACAATTCATGGACAGGAAATGAACTAAGATGTAATGACGGAAAGGGAGTGGTGTTTTGATTTGATGGAGGTGTTTTGGGCCGAGGTGGACTGAGAGTTGGGTGTTATTCAAATGGGAAACATTTACAAATACCATTTGGAGTTGATAAGAATACAAAAGGACCCATGGATGTTGTAAGTTGGTCAGGTTACTAAAATGAGGTTGAATTCAACAGAAAGTAAACTTTTAAGTGGAATTCCATGAACAAATTTTCCTTGGAGAACCAGAGGCGACAGTGCTATAAAAGCCAGGTTCAGGAGTCACGCACAGGCTGGCCCAGCAGCCTCGCTCTGCATGCAGCCGCGAACACAGGCGATGTGGCTGGTCTAAACTTAGACGTGCATTGCTCTGAGTATAAAATCTACACCAGATTTTGAAGACTTAATATGAATAGTAAGAATGTAAACTATCACATTAGTAACTTAAAATATTGATTACATGCCAAAATGATAGTATTTTGGATATGCTGGGTTAAATAAAATATATTATTAAAATTAACTTCCTTTATTTATTTTTATTCTCTTAATGTGACTACTGGAAAATTGAAAATTGTGTGTGTGGTTCCCATTGTGTTTCTACTGGACCATGTAACTCTAGACTCTGAACCTGAGCCAAAGTGGTACCTGGAGATGGAGTATATCTTTGACTGGTAGTCTCGGTCATTCTCGCATTCAAATAGGGTTTGATCAGACTATTTCCTTTTATTGTGTGTTTCTAGAAATATATAGGGAAGAATCACAGGGAAGACTGAGGTAGGGGACCTCTAAGTGCAAACAGGAAGAGACCCTAGGTTCTCTTGGATCCCCTCTTGAATTTCTTCACAGGAGGAGAGGAGAATAAAAGAAGATGAGAGTTCACAGAGAAATAAATATACTGATGCCCAACCCCTCATCACTCCACACTCGAAGCTTGGGCACATAGAGCCTGATGTATAATCCAAAGAATTATACTGAACAAACATGAGAGAACCGAGTAAGGGAGCTTGGAGGTAGATGATCTTCCTGAGTGGACAGGACACTATCATGCATTTTTATTTCATGAGTTGTCCCTTCCCACCCGGTGAGCCCCTGGAAATCCGTCACTGCACAGTCAGGTTCCTACGGATTCCGTCAGTGTCGAGCTGGATGGGCGGGGTGGCTGTGTGTGGCACATGAATGGCAGTGTCCTGGTGGCCAATCACACCCCACAAAGGAGAGAGTCAGCAGCGTGGCTGTGCTGTCAGCTGTGGGGAGTGAGTTTTGTTCAGTCTTCTGGTTCTCCCCAGTCCTGCTTCGACACTAAAATTAGTAATGTAATCCTGCACCTCTACTTCATATTGTACCTGTCAGGAGGCCCAGGGGAGCCTTATATATGTGAGAGCCTGAACTTTGCGGAGGTCAGAGCTACATACTTTCATATTTCCGAGAATGGACTTGCATAAGATAGTGTCTAGGACAGGACTGTCCAACAGAACTTTCTGTGATGAAAATTCTATGTCTTTGCTTTCAGTACAGCAGCCATGAGCCACACAACTATTGAGGACTTGAAAGGTGGCTAATGTGACTAAGAAGCTGAATTTTAAATTTTATTTAATTTAAAATAAATTTAAAATTTAAAATTTTATTTAATTTAAAATAACAAATTCAAATGTAAGTAGTTACATGTGACTTGGAGCTGGCATATTAGACATCGCAGTTCTAGTAGTCGCCTTGCATATGGCGAAAACAGAGAGGTGTGTTTATAGGCCATTGGATCAGTCCACAGATGTTATGCATTTGAAAGAACTATGACCAGTAAGAATCAGAGATTCTCATCTAGTGTCCTTTATCCTTGCTTTGACTGAGACAAAGCATGAGGCCAAAAGCAAGATGTGAATTTATTTCAGACTCTTCCCAAAAGTTATCTGAGGTAGATAAGTGGTCCAGTTACTGTACACAGGATGAGGGCTGTCAAGAAGTTTGCAACTCATAGGTGTTATGCAAAAATAGACTTGCAGCATGACTGGTCATTCTGACTTCATGTAGATTGTGAGGAACACCTTCTCGGGGACCAGAAGTCTAGTTGATTTTATAGAACTCAGTAGAGAAGTAGCCAAGTAGCTTGGCCTAAGTGTCGAGCACTGCTAGGCAACTTCATGACATTAGAATAAGCTCCTTAACTTCCTCATCCTCATTACAAATGTTTTCTCATTTATACAATGGTAATAATAACATCTACTTTACAGTGTTCTTGGGAAGATACAGTGAGATAATGTGGTTGACTCTTTGTAAGCTGTAAAATGCTGAATTCATGTTAATATTGTGTTTTGTCCCATAAGCATGTGTGCCTGGCTCTGCTAATGGTGCCACAGAGGTCCCCGAGGGGACATCACATCTTGTTGGGATCAACTAAGGTATCTGGAATGATCACACTCTTAAACTCTGGGATTTAAGGAACGCTAAGGATTGCAGATATATCTTTGGGGTCTGCAGGTTATCTGTATTTTAAAATTTTGTGTTGTGAGATGATCATCTTTTAAAATGTCAAACATATCTTGGATTTTGATGACCTTCTTATAACAGAGTGCTGTCATTATCTTCAACCTCCGTATTTGTGTTTATAATGAAGTTGATATCAAGATATAGAGGCTTCATTAATAAATAACTCATTTGCTCCAAGTGGGCAGAGCAGTGAGGATTTTGCGGTAGTCAAAGGACTAGGGAGGTGGTGGCAGGAGCGTCCTCACTGCGTGCACCGTGCGGCTGGATGCTGCGCTTGGAAGCACACACGTGGGCGCAGGCAGTTCTGATAATTCTGTAAGAGCTGTAAGGTCGACTGGGTTGTATATTTGAGCATATTTAAGAAAGATTATAATCAAATTTTATTTTATAAAGATTATAGACTCATAATATTTTAAGATTCTAATAAAATGCTGTATTTTATAAAGTTTATAAAGATTATATTTCATAATCTTTCTTAAATATACTTATACAACCCGATAAATGTTATAGCTCTTACAGAATTGTAAAACTAAAATAAAAAGTAAATTTTAAATACATTTAAAATACATGTAAAAATAAAACTATAAAACTAATAGGCTAAAATAACAACATGAAGGGGAAGTGACTAATCGAAGAACATGTATGAATGACCTACGGACATGGACAACGGAGAGGGGACTGACTGTAGGAGCGGGGAGCAGGATGGACCAAGGAAGGCAAAGGGGGAAAAATTGGGACAGCCGTAACAGAATAATAATAAAATGATATAAAAAGAAAGATTATAATTTACTTACATTATTTCTAAACATAGTAAACATGATCACAGATTCCTCCCATGTAGGGGGTATTGCAGTCTGAGTATTTTTTTTTCTTTCGTAAGGGTATATACATTACTCAAGTTTGAGAAACACTGGCGTAGCATAAATATCACTTTGGTTTCAGAAAACTTGACTTCAAGCAGTAGCTCATTGTTTTATATTGGGAAAAACATT